TGCGAAAATGAATCGCTGTCGCTGCCTATCGCGATCTTTCGATCGGATTTGCTGGGTAAATTGCAACGGTCTGGTCCAAATGAAGCTCGTGACGTAAGGTGCTGGCAGATAAAGAGAATCACTGAACTACACTGACACCAAGTGTTAAAGACGTTATTCGCAAAAAAGCCGTGATCAAGTGTTCAGGAGAAAAATAAGCCTGCAATGAGACCTGCTCTGACAGTTTCATCGTGAGAAAAATGTTGTAGCGTTATTCTTGTTATTTATATTCCAGACCTTTGACAGCCTCAAATGAAAAAAAACCCTAAATTGACGAACAAAGGATGCTAATACATTTCAAAATAAAATATGTGTGTTTGAGCACCATTAAAAAGATCAACATTTGCATATAGTGAAGACACCATCAGGACAAAAAGCTATTGTGAAAAATAATTTAAGTCCCAAAGTGTAAAAATGTTTTGGATGCTGGTTATGAGATTTCGTGCTAAAGAGAGAAGGCCACATCAAGAGGATCCATATTTAAAACATTAAGCAAGTGTTATTATCAGCATGTAGAGACAATTGGACTTGAAAACTGTTAATCTTACCTCTCCAGATGCCAGCCTCCTATCAGGGAGCATCAGTGTATTCGCATGGCTTCCCGGGACTATAGTAGATCCTATACTCATTCTGGGTCCAACTAACATGTAGCGCTTCTCTCCAGATCTGTACTGGATGCTGTGACACAGTGTCCCGTCATAATTAGTCTCTTGTAGATATTTAGAAGTATACTCTGTGGATTTAGAGCACTGCATTGCAATCAGCACGATGATACTGATGAGAAAAAGTGTTGAAACTGAGCCCAAAGTTATCATCAGGTAAAAAGTCACGTTATTATCCTCCTCGTCATTTGTTGCACTTTTAACATCAGAAGCAGCAAAAGCCTCTTTGGGCTCCACAACTTTGACAATCATGGTAGCTGTTGCTGAGAGTGAAACGTTCCCGTTGTCTTTCACCAGTATGACCAGTTTATGCTCAGCCTCGTCCGTCTCTGTGAACGAGCGAAGTGTTCTGATCTGTCCTGTATAGCGGTCCAAGCCAAAGAGACTGTGGTCAGTAACTTCCTGCAGTGAAAACAGTAACCAGCCGTTATATCCTATATCAGCGTCATAGGCTCTGACTTTAGTCACCAAGTGTCCTGCGTTTCACATTGCGGGGGAATCTCCTCCACACCTTCAGCAGAACCCGTTAGAGCTGAGAGGATACAAGATGATCGGAGCGTTGTCGTTTCTGATCCAGAATGAACACGTGCACCGTGACGTTGCTGCTTCAGTGATGGGAGACCCAGAATCTGTGGCGACAACTTGAAACTGGAACGTTTTTCATGGGTTCAAAGTCAAAACTTTTTTAGTGCAGAAAATGTGTCCATTT